AAAGGAAAGCGTCTGTTAGAGCAGGGGTTCTCAACTCCAGTCCTCGCGACCCACTGCTCTGCATATTGTGTATGTCTCCCTTATTTAACACACCTGATTCAGATCCTCAGCTTGTTAGGATAGCCGTAGAGTCTATCTTAACGAGCTGAGGATCTGAATCAGGTGTGTTAAGTAAGGGAGACATACACAATATGCAGAGCAGTGGGTCGCGAGGACTGGAGTTGAGAACCCCTGTGTTAGAGGACGCGGTTAGGTTTAGGTATGGGGTGGGGGTAGGGTACACGCGATCCTAGGGCGTCATCTAACTGACGCTAAAGGGCGCCTAAAGCGTCAGATATTGAAGCATGTCCAAATTCTAGTCAGTTAGGTGACGCCTTGGGAGTGAGAATGGGCTGAAATAAAATCACCTCATCCTCTGTTAGGACAAAATAATCTCTCTAAACCTTTGGACAAGGCACGGCAACTTCTAGGGATGGGCACTCTTGGTAAATAGACAGAAGAATGTTCGTTGTGTTGTATTAACAATTCAGTGTTTTGCTTAGTTTAATTTTAATGTTAAGTGTTGCTATTTTTTCAATAGCAAACCTCATCGATCAATTTGGAAGGGTGGGACGATCCCTTTGCTTCTTTGTTTAGTGCCGTCAATTGTTCTTTTCATAGAAGTCGTGTTGCAGGAAATGATAGATGGAAAACAACTTACCATCAAGAAATGACTTCTAGGAAAACAGTGTTGTTTCTTTAAAATCTAAGGAGCTAAAATGAGAATTAACCTGCGCGTCTTTCCACGAAACATGACGTCAACTCCTGCTTAGTATAAATGACAGATGGTACAGAGGGACACTCAAAAAGCAAATTATTTTACACTTAAAAGGATATTTTACCCAAATAGGAAAATTCTGTCATTATTCACCCTCATATCAATCCTTTCATCTGCAGAATATAAAGGCAGATATTTTGAAAAACCCATCATGAGATAATTTGAAATACCATGGCCTATCACCCATACAATGAATGACAATGGGGTCCAAAACAACACCTAATATTTTGCAAAATATCTTCTTTTGTGTTCCAAAAAAATGTAGAAAACCACAGAGGTTTGGAAAGACATAGGGTGAGTAAAAATATATATATTTTGGTCAACTACCCCTTTAATTATACTTTTCTTCTGGGGCTATACATGGTTATAAACATTGATCTAATCACATGTAAAATCAATGTTATAAACAGATAGCCAGCATGTTTTTTAGGCGAATTAGCATTAGCGGTTGTGTTTATGATTCAACTAGACAAGTAGCGTACTGTACATCCAGGCTTCTCAACTTTCACTTTTAACCTCTCATGCACAGATTTATTTTATCAAGGCTTGCCTCATCTAACGCTATTCATAGTTTTTTCCACTGTTAACTGTTTTTCCACACCACTCTCTGCTCTCAAGCCAAAGGGCCAAAATTGCTGGTTAGAGAATGCCAGCTTTGGCTTGGACGATAACCAGTTGTTACATAATGCCAACATTAATGCAATTTTCATTGTTTTAGCGAATTTAAATTATCTCTGATTTGAGCTTTTTTGTTTGTCAAAGCAGGAATTTGTTTAAATAAAGCATAACAGTTTTTTTTTTCTACAACTGTTGTCTCACCCGGGATATGGTCAGGGACATATTGAAGTCTTTGCCTCCCTGCAGCCTGAAGCCCCATGGTGCAGGTCCTGACAGGGTTACTGTGTAATTGCTCATTTCGTAGAGAATTTAAAGCGAAAAGCTTCTTCACAGATCAGTAAAGTCCTTTCTTTCCTTTCAATTCTTCTCCCTGTAGTCGGGATGACCAAACACCCGGGTACGGGCAGGCACCGAGGAGCCTCTGAAACACAACAACAACAGACAGGAAATGCAATAGAGTGAAAAAAAGCTGTATTACCTTATGCCAGTATACGACCATCGCACGTGAGAAAATATATCTGCACTATCAATACACCTCAAAAACATACCACAGAAGGAATCAGACTTTTAAAAAAAAATAACAAATAGTTCAATCCCACCCCTGTTTACACTGACAAAATAAGTCAAAAAAGTCTTAAAAGCAGAAGGAGGAGAGTTCTTGCCTGCTCGGATGGCCTTGACAGACAGCCTAAGAATAGATCCTCTCTGCAGAAAGCAATAATACTCAAGCCCTCAGCCCCCTAAATGGCGTGTAAGGGGACACCCCCGGATGCCAACCCCCCATGATTCACATGGCGAATATAGCCTCTTCTTAGGGTAACACATTTTTCCACCCTGTGGACGTCCACTCATAGAGCACCATGGATATTGAGCTAGTGGGAAGCGACTAATAAACAACAAGGAGCCATAGTGGCTAAGTCTGACGTAATGTCACTTTAAAGCTGTGTCAGGGTGTAAATCCAAATAGATGGCTGTAAGATTTGTTTTGAGGTGATGGGACTGATTGCAACTTTCATCAAGAGCCTCGTCTCTTCTTTCTAACTTCATAATGGAGGTTTAGGTTGCTAGGTTTTACAAAATCAAGGACTTTCATCAAAGCCACTTTAAGGCAAGCCTTCAAGGTTAGCAAAAAAAATAACAACAACAACAAAACAAAAAACAGCAGACCAGAGGCTGTTTTTTGAATGGATGTCAATGGAGGAGAGAGCTGAATAAACTGCTTTTGTGGGAAAATAGCTTATCCTTTAATAAATTGACAGCCTAACGGCTAATCTTCCATATGTTTGCCATTAAACGTTAATTTTGGATTTATTTTTAGAGTTTTCGAGAAAAATGCAGTTTTATGAGACAAGTCTTGAACAATTTTGCAACAGGTATGATTCAGTTGATAGCAATTCTCATTGATCACTATGGTAATATGCCAATACTGACTGGCTGTTTTACAACTCAATGATGCCAAGGCCCTAATGTGATGTAATGTGCACATGTGATCCAAATTGACCTTAATGCTTTCTCCAATGGAAGAGACCTTGGTACCTCACAATAATAAGACCATCTTTGGTTTCATAATACCTGGCTGGCGTAAGACATCGATTGAATTGCTCAGCTGGTGCGGGACCCCTAAGAGTTTGTGATTTGTATTCTTCCATCTTTGCTCCAGTAGATTAAGGAGAATTAAAAAAGACTTTTGAAAGAAAACTGAAAGTCTCTTTTCACGTCATCCCATGCTGTTGTCAGGTGGGTTTAAAAAGGATCACACATACCAAAGAAGACGACTGACTCGGTCAATACACTCTGACAGGACACACACCTGCCATTCATGCTTTTCTGTGAAAGACCAGAGGTATAATTTAGCCATGTCATTGTGATTGAATCCTTTCACTCTTATTCTTAAGACTGGCAAGTATAGAAAGACTCACACTCAATAGCTATTATTACAAACAATGGTGCTCTATGGAAAAGTAAAGCTCACCCTCAGCCATAAAATAACTTTCCTCTCTTGGTCCACTGTGACATGGGACATGGGGAAGCTATCATTCAAAATCACATTTATGAAAAGCATTGCCTTGAATGGATGATGTGCATAATACTACAAACACTTCAGTTCATGCAGTACTTTTTACAATTAAAGGTACGGTTACACAACAACTATGTACTATGAACAAAAAAAGGTTTAATCTGACAGTTGGCAGTACAGTATTGTCAAACATATCTATGTATTTTGTTCTTTACTGTTCAACATCAAAACCCATGTAAAATAGAGCTGTATTTGAACTACATTGCACATTTGACATAATTCTGAAACCCGAAAGCATAAATATATTTTTTTTACATGCAAGCATAATTCATAATACTGATTAGAATATAATATTTATTAACATTATCAATCACCCAAATACATCATTAAATTACTAATTCAATTACACATTCAATTCAATAAATTAAAGTGAAATCACACACTCATTGCAAGATGGACTAAAATTTTAATGCTTTTGGCCATCCAACATGTGCATGAAGATCGGTTGTGAAGAAAACACACATAAGATCCACCACATAAGATTAGGAGAAATAATATGTAAAGAAATATAAATATATTTTAAATACCAAAGCTATAGCACTATTAAATATTGTTTTGCAGCGACTCCAATATGGTCAGCAGAGATACTCAGTTCACCTCTAATTTAGGTCAGAGAGTCCAAGCTTTATTATAATTTGCTACAAGGGAAAGAGTCAATGGCACAGGGCTGTTTACTCCTTAATCTTATCTCAAGGGGCTTATGACCTTGTTCAGAGCTCATTGTAGAAAGCAGAGTGAATCTTATATAAATGCAGAGCCAGCAACTGTGTACAAATACATAAGGCTGCTCAAGGTTTTTTCAACAGTTTATGGAAAAATAGCCTTTTTTTTAGTTTCTTTTCATATTTGTGGAATTTTATCAAAATAAATATTTAGTAGTTAAATGGAAGAAAATTTGTTGAATACAATAGAATGCTTTATAAAAGAAGTTTGTGATATTAGTCTGGGCTGGTGAATGAGGTCTTTATTACAGAGATGAAGAACAACAGAGAGCAGCAATACCTCTGCATAACAGTCACTCATTACACTGTAAAAATGAATGTGCTTTATCTAATAAAAAAAATAGTGGCAACAGATTACAAGCAATTTTATTGATTAAATTTAACAAATTAGAATTGAGTAATAATTAATCAAATTAATTCCTTAAAAGTTAACCATTTAAAATGAGTAAAACTTACAAAAAAAAAAAAAAAAAAAAAAACATAAACTGAAGTCACCATTATGGTGATCAGTGTTTATTTTAGGTTTGTTTTAAAATGGCGGTTTTCTCCTTCAGTTATTCTGCTTGTTAACATCAGGTATCTTCAATGTTGGCAAAATAAAATAAAGAGTTCTTAATTAATCTTTGACGTCTGTCTGTTAGTGAGATATTTTTGTTACATTTTTTGGTGTAAACTTTACTCATTTTAAATGGTTAACTTTTAAGGAATAATTTGATTAATTATTACTCAATTCTAATTTGTTAAATTTAAATAACAATATTGCTTGTAATCTGTTGCCACAATTCTATTGATTAGATGAAGCATATTCATTTTTACAGTGTACCATCTAATCTGCACTACTTGACTAGCAAATATGTTCAAGCTTACATAACGATTTATATTTCTTTGTCTCTGTGGACTGTCTGGATCTGAACTGTGGTTTGCCCAATCGAAGCTGCTGTAGGTCTTAAAGTCATGAAATCAAAATGAACAATTCTTAGGTGTTTTTATGGAAATATTGTAGTACTTATTATAAATTATTTATCCGTGCACATCATTATTTTTTCTTTTAATCTTTCATCAAAATACCTTCCCCTCACACTTGCAGTCAAATCTCTTTATTAATGACATGTTTGTTGGCGCAAGGGCAGGACAAACTGTCACTCAAACATTACAGGTCCATGTTTGATCAATGTACTTATGTACTTATTTTTTAGGGGCATTTTAAGTTTTAATTTAATTACTGTATGAATTTTACCATGCACATATAAATATAATATGACAGCAGCTTCAGAACTGGAGTCAGGACAACATAGGGAAGGGCAATGAAGACGTGACAAAGTTATCACAAATATAATGTATGACCTGCGGCTTTTGCTGATAAGCTCATTTATCATTTATATAGCACTTGATTATGTCACTCCGACGGCGTCCAGGCAACAAATCACATGCAAGTCAGCAGGACACACTATTGACCTACTTGATAACTGTGAGTGACTGGATATACAGTAGGTGTTCACTGCTAAATGTGTATCAATGCTAATTCAAGAGTTGCTAATCAGGTGAACATTCTGGCAACATCAGTAAATATGCAGGTCAGGTACCCCATAGAAAATCATAAAACATCTACGAAGCATATTTACCTCTAAATGAAAAGGTAAACATCTCTTTAGGAGAGACTGACAGTGAATTTGATCTGTTTCAGAGACCAGTAAATGCGAAAGTGTATATGTAACTTTGAGAACACAGCAGCCTTAAAAAGCAATGGAGCGTTCTGGCTGACTACTTCCCCAAAACTAATCTTGTTAAAAGCGTTTCCCCTCTAATCCCTAAGGACTCCCAGAAACTGGCATATTAATCCCACTAAAGCATCTCTAAAATCCAGCAGAAAGTCAAATCTGCATCTGAAAGGTACAGTTCATTACAGCCACGGGCTCTGAGACCAGTCATTTGCATTTAAAAGACCATTTTCACATTTATAGGGATTTTGATGTTATTGTAGCCTGCACAAAGAATTAAAAACATTTAAAAACCAAATATTTCTATCAAAAAAAAAGCCTATTTTACATTAAGAAAGCATGCAGGTGATCACAAACATGGGGATTTTCACACGTGGATAGAGAAACATGGCACAACAACAAAGCATGAAAAATCATTCAGTCAAGATCATTTGTTGAGCACACTTTCGTATGAACATTCAATAGACAAATATATACGTATTGGCAGTTCTGAAAAGAATATATAAACTAATCAAGACGAAAGTTTTATTTTTGATCAGCAGCAAGAATTGATTCTTAAAGTGCTTATTTCATTATGAATGTTGATAGGAATACCTGATAGTTTGAAGCTGAAGTGTTTAATTAAATTATTTATCAATTTTAAAATTAAGGGTGCAAAATATATCTGTTAATGTAGAGATTTAAGTTTTTAGTCATTGGGCATTTAATTGTGCATTATGTACAGTTGCCACTGTACATAATTCTGTGATGTCTAAATTCACTAGTTTCATTTAAAAAGTAATTATTTTTTTATTTTATTTTTTTTATAATATAGACAGAATAGCGTGGAATGTAAGTATCGGCCATTTATCGATTCTCAGCCGTAACAATGAAAATATTTTGACATGAAATTACACACTTCACCTTTAAAGAAACATCAAAATATCCACTTTTACACCTGTATACAGGGCTCTACATTTCATAGTGATACCTAAATCTCTGGATGGTCAAAACTAGGCATATGAATCTTCAAGTCACAGATCATGTGTTGTTTTTGATCTTGTGCAGGCACTGGGAACCGTTTATTCCAATGGCCTAAATCACAACCTTCAATGGATGAAGCATCTCACTAAAGGGATAGAAGTATCTGAATACATAGAGCAGTGTCAATCCACAACCGTTTGCTTTTCGGAACTGTCGAATTCTTCCCTGAGAGGAGAGGATCATCTCCACACCACTGAAAGAAGCCTGAAAGGCTGTCCTGAGCCTACTTTCTTATAGAGATACAGACCTTGTTCACCTTGTAGGCTGTGGTCACCCAGTTTCCATCTCGAAACAGGCAAAAGTTTACAACAATAACAGCACTGCCAAATTTCAGATGTCAGTTGTAACAGCATGCAGGTTCAATTTTGAGCCCTGTGTAAAGGAGACAAAATGGTGGAAGGAACAAGTCAGATAACAAAGAGTTTGTGTCCTTCAGTATAAGTCTGTGGTAGTGTAGCCCGTATTCAGTCAATGCTAGCAGGGTCCACAGAGAAAGAAGCTTCCTCCACCGAAGCACCTGGGAGCTGTCTGGAGGAGCCACTGCTGTGCCCTACTGAGTTGAGGGCTGGACTGGACTCTGACGTTACAATGATGGAAGGGATCCGAACCAACAGTCTTTTCTCATCAACTTTGTCTGAATACGGCTAAATGTGAGACAGGGAAAAGACAGTGAGTCAGTACATTTTTAAATACCGTATATATGGCCTTATGGGATAGTAAAGTGTGAATAAGCACTTCATAATCTCAGCGGAAGTAGTAAGTCTTCTGTACTTTTCGCCTACTCTTTTTTTCCAATAGCTACTATGTATTGTATTCGGACATACTACTCTTTTGCAGTACTATTTTTCGCATACTATAGTAAGGAAGTATTCGATTTCAGGCATAGCACAAGACCTCAGATGCGTGTGTCATAAGAGAGACATCAAAACTGTAGTTTTGAGTGTAATCCAGGACCAGGGTTGCATGGGAACCACAGTTATATTTTAATTTTTAAAAAAAAAGTAATTCCTGTGACGGTTAAGCTGAATTTATTTCAGTGACGTATGATCTAAATTTACATGTATACAAAATCTATCTATATGTAAATCATTTTCATTATATGCCAACATACAAAAATTAATTCTAGTGAGATTAGGCTGTGAGTGTATAAGCAGGTATAGGACTTGCTTGTTGCAGTGGGATTAATGAAAACTCCCACAGTGCACTGAAAACAAATCTTGCCAAGTTGCCATAGTCATGTTAATGCTCAGCAACATTTCAGAACTTTCTGGACTATGTGTTTGCATTTGCTGACTTTTCTTCCTGCCATTGCCGGGTTCTAGTCAACTGCTATTTAAACTGCAGTTCGCAGTTTTTCCCTCTTTGTCGCCATCTCTGTTCAAAATCTGCCATTGCAGTCATTTGTGAAATTATCAACTTTATGCGAGTTGTAGTTCAACACTGCACAGCGCGGATGAACACAATGTTTGCAGCTGTCAATCACCGCGCTGGTGTCGATACTGGCATCATTCTCTATTTTGGATCATTTTTAACCTAAAAAAAGCTACGGATTGCAGCTTTAATAATGACACACTGGAGTGATTTTGTGACAGTGCAGCTAGGCCTGTGATCCACACAACTGCATCTAAAATAGTGCTTCTGTGTTATAAAATCCTTTATCTTCATTAATACATTAAGAATTGCAAGATTTACACCAAGCGCACAACAAAATAGAATAATATAGCAAAATATACCACTAATTGACCTGCATGACAGTAATGTCAATTTTAGACCTATTTGGATAGGAATAGTGCTACCTGAGGAGGTTAGATAGCATTGTGTTTCACAGATGGATTTTGTGATTTTAATCCCATTTGAATCGAACGTGTCTGTGTACAACCTCAATAAAAGATAACAGAGCAAATTACCTATTGTTTTTCAGCATCCTGACAGGAATATCTGCCTGTGGTGTACTATATTGTCACCACATTTCTCCTATTTTTGACATTTATTGAACAAAGTGTTTTTTGCTTTAAATAAATTCCTTCAATTACACGGAAGTCCATTTCAGTGGGTTTTGTGATGCATATGACTACAGCGATACACTCAATCCCATTTGAATTAGTACATGAAGTGACTGGGATCCTATGTAATAATTGTAATTCAAACATCATTTAGAACTTAACCCAGTCCGAAAAGAGCACTTACAGAGGACGAGATACAACTGGACGGACTGACCTCAGCCATGGAGATCTCTTCTTTGTCGCCTGCCACCTGAAAGAGGGAGAGGAGAGATACAAATGAAATTGACGATTTTGAGGGTTTGCCATAGATGCGTTCAGCACTTCTCTTTCTCATTCTTAATGTTCAGATATTTAATCACTAATTCAAGGTTTAGCTCACCCAAAAATGAAAATTATGTCATTAATGACTCATGTCGCTCCAAGCCCGTAAGACCTTATCTTCATCTTCGGAACACAGTTTAAGGTATTTTAGATTTAGTTCGAGAGTTTTCTGTCCCTCTATTGAAAATGTATGTACGGTATACTGTCCTTGTCCAGAAAGGAAATAAAGACATCATCAAAGTAGTCCATGTGACACCAGTGGATTAGTTAGAATTTTTGAAGCATCGAAAATACATTTTGGTCCTAAAATAACAAAAACTACGACTTTATTCAGCATTGTATTGTCTTCCGGTTCTGTTGTCAATCCGCGTTCAAGACGATGCTGATGTGTATCTGGTGCGTCCGTGTATTCCACAGACAGTAAAAGAGGTGTTTTCGCGTTCAAATGAATATAGCTGGGCAAAAAAAATGCAAGTCTTCCTCTGTGTTGAAATCCTTAGACATGTTTGCGAAGATTTTGTTTACAGCGTACGTTTCCCCAGAGCCTGTCTATCGGAGAGCCTTGGCACTACCTATTTGCCCCATTGTATCATCTTGGTTGCAGTTCCATTAGAATTCCACTGGAGGTGATCGCGGGAGAGAGCAGAATGAATGGGAGTCTATGAAGCTAGATGGCTAAATCTATCCCTTTCTAAATGTATCCCTTTCTAACTTGTCGTTGAATCAACATAGATTTTATTGTCCATTTCGCAAGTTCAATATAGATTATAGTCCAAAAGTCAAATGAACGAGAACTTACATTTCGATTTCTTTCAGGTTACCCTTACGAAAAATACGTTTATTCAAGTGTGCCATTAGTATACTTCTTTTAAACTAAAAATAAAGAAAGTATACTTTCAGTTTATTTTTCCTGTACTTCTCAGAAGTATACTATATGTACTTCTCAGAAATATAATTCAAATTACACTTAAGTGTACTTGACTTATACTGAGAGAAAAGCAAGTATATTTGTCCTGTTCTTGTACTCAATCTTTTGATCCAGAAATACTTAAATGTATAATTGAGTATTCAAAGTATACTTGTATAAGTAAAAAAGTAAACTATTAGTATACCCATAAATTCACTTGCAGTACACATGAGATACATAATTATGAACTAGTTGTGCACTTACTGTTACACTTATAGTACACTTAAACATATACTTTTATGTACTAAAAGTGGGCCAATTTAGTCCCAAGCGGTATTAAAATAGTACACTTACAAGTTTACTACTAGTACATAGCGACATTAGTATACTTACTACATAATGTATACTTAAAAATATACTTGAACATTACTTAAGTATACTACATAAAATGAACTTGAAATATACTTCTTTTTCGTAAGGGTAGGTCGTTGTTGGCCAGAACATACAAGCATTCTGCTGTTATGTGACGTCATCACATTTTTGAACGGATTTTTAGAAAAGATAGTGAACTTAAAAATGCAATTTTCAGCTGAGTGTATTATCTTAGATGAATAAAGTTTTTGTTATTTTTGGACCAAAATATATTTGATGCTTCAACAAATTCTAACTAACCCACTGGTGTCACATAGACTACTTTGATGATGTCTATTTCCTTTCTGGACAAGGACAGTATACCGTACAAACATTTTCAAATGAGGGACAGAAAACTCTCGGACTAAATCTAAAATATCTTAAACTGTGTTCCGAAGATGGAGCGTTGGAACGAAGTTGGAACGACACAAGGGTGAGTCAATTTCAGTTATGAGAATATGAGTCATAACATTTTTGGGTGAACTAAGCCTTTAAGTTCGCACAGTGTTTAAATGGACTGTGACCAGTCAAAAGAAAAAGGTGGAAGGGCAGAGCAGAAGGTGCCACCCAGTGGACACACTGATGCTGTTCATCTTTATGACATGGGATGAGCTTCTGTTTATGGGGATTATCTCTCTAAAACCAGCAGATTAGGGCAGGAGAATTAAAGCAGGCTTAATCTCAATGTAATGGACCCTCATTCAAGCCTGCGCTTTAAAGAAACGTTATGCGCACTAATCCACACCGTACATCTTTCACATGCTCTACTGGCTCAAGACCTGCGTGCATTAACATATTAACAAAAGGAACCTTTAGGAGCGGATTCAATTTGATTAGAGTTCTTTACATTTAAAAAATGGTAAAGTGTTAGCAGATCTTTTATTAGAATCAAGTGTCTGACTGGAAACTAAAAAATATTTTTTTGTATATCCTTTTGACTGGTGATAGGCAGAAAAGCAGGATTTTTTAAAGTCCATTAACATGAGAGAGTTATTGTCTGATATTACTTTATGTTGTACAATCCCTTCAGTTAAAGGGTTAGTTCACCCAAAAATGAAAATTAAGTCATTAATTACTCACCCCCATGCTGTACCAACCCCGTAAGACCTTCGTTCGTCTTCGGAACACAAATGAAGATATTTTTGATTAAATTTGAGATCTGTATAACTACCACATTGGCTCCTAAGGGACTGCCTCTTGACGGCCCAAAAAGTCAATGAAGAAAATGTTTAAATATCCCAAGTGACTACCGTGGCTCAACTATATGTTTACCAAGCGACGCGAATACTTTTTGTGCGAAAAAACAAACAAAAATAACGAGTTTATTCGACTATTTTTTTCTTCCTTGTAGGCCAGAACGAGACTTCCTTATAGATTTCCACGACGCATGCGCGAGAATTGCGATCTGAAGTAGTGTAAGCTGTGTACGCAGATCGCAAATCTCGCGCATGCGTCGTGGAAATCTATAAGGAAGTCTCGTTCTGGCCTACAAGGAAGAAAAAAATAGTCGAATAAACTCGTTATTTTTGTTTGTTTTTTCGCACAAAAAGTATTCGCGTCGCTTGATAAACATATAGTTGAGCCACGGTAGTCACTTGGGATATTTAAACATTTTCTTCATTGACTTTTTGGGCCGTCAAGAGGCAGTCCCTTAGGAGCCAATGTGGTAGTTATACAGCTCTCAAATTTAATCAAAAATATCTTCCTTTGTGTTCCGAAGACGAACGAAGGTCTTACGGGGTTGGTACAGCATGGGGGTGAGTAATTAATGACTTAATTTTCATTTTTGGGTGAACTAACCCTTTAAGTAGATCAATGGTTCTCAAATGGTGAGTCGCCATCCAAAAATGGGTCACAGTTCTATTCAGACAAATAAAAATTCTAAATGCAAAATTATAACTGGCTTGTAGGAGTCGGTTTTCCCTAAAAATTGGACTGCGCAATTCTCGTTGTGTTTAATTCACTAATGGCACCTTTTTAATAGGAGTCAATTGTCTGAGAATCACGCTACACTGGTTGCACTCTATGTTTCTGATTCACTAAAAAGAAGTTTCTCAAGAGTCATTTCTTTCCTAACAGCAATGGTCAACCTGAAAATTCAGAAGTGACGCCACTGAATAAGCAGTGCATGAAACTGTCAGGGTACTTATTTATGATATTTACTGTTATTTATGATAAGGTTCCCTCATGATTTATCTCACTCAAGTGGAAAAGAAAATGTATCATTATTAAAGGTACAATATGCAAGATTTTTGCAGTAAAATATCCCAAAACCACTAGGCCAATGTTATATATTTTGTTTAGTTGATTACTTACAATATCCCAAATATTATCAACTATTTGTAAATCGTGAGAAAATTGTGATTATAACCAAGGAAACGGGGCGTGTGAGCAGGGGTGAGGAGTCGCCAGTCGATGGCGTCATATCCGCCGGTTTCCGCCAGGTTTGACCTCATACGATAACCAGGGCGACAGACGTTGAAAACTGGGTCGGTTGTGCCTAGAAGGATGCTCACGCTGTTGTTGTTTTGTTCAAACATTTTGGACCATGGCAAGGAGACTTTGAGACAAACAGAGGACTAAAACAAGGATCAACATCTTTCGAGAGGCCAAGAGCTCCACGTCCGCGACTAACTTCGACTTGACAGAGACGCGAATGTTGAATGTTACTTTATTAGACAGTTGAGCAAATGTACATTAAACTAATCAATGTTATGTAGTTCAACATGATGAAATGTTAGAATATGATCTGTATGTTATTCTCTAATGTTAATCTAGCTTAGTCTCATAAAGCCAACAAACAGCATTCAACACACTCAAATCCCGTTAAGTGTGATAGTGTAACTGTTAGTTAGAGCAAGTGAAGCAGCACTGCGTCACCTCAAGTATAATTCCTCTAATAAACTGACCTGTGTGAGTAATTCAGCACTTGCGTGTAGTTCAGTAGAATGAAATGTCCTTATTCTTTTATATCCGCGGGAGTAGCGTTGCGTCTGGCGCTGGTATACGTCTAGCAATCGCGCACTGCTTCATTTCACAGTCATGTTAAAAACATCCCTGTATTCACTCTGTCAAGATCCAAGACAAGATCCATAATTCTGCTGTATGCAGAATATACGTCATCAATATACACCTTTGTTATTGTAAGAGGTTAGCGACCCCTGGTGGCGAAAAAATCTTGCATATTGTACCTTTAAGCAGTACCAAGAGGCTGAATAAAAAAAAAAAAATTATCTGCAGAGCAAGAACAACTGTGTGTAGATTTTAGAAAGTGATATTTCGGCACCACTACATCTAAGAGAAAAGCCAATGAAAGAAGTACAAATCTCTCTCTCAAACTTTATGTACAGTCAAATGAAATATCATTAGCACATACAACCATGCACACTTTTTCACAGAAAATCGCTGACTGAATCCAGGGCAGTATGAAGATATGATGGATGGAATTAAATTTCCAAATGAATTTTAAATCTGATGGAGTCGTTTCCTCTCTAAAAATGAATGTGGGCTTCCTAATTTCATAAATCAAGTAGCGATGAGAGAGCTGAGAAGCTTCTGATTAATGAGGTGAGATATGACACTTATTGAAGACTCTCACTTACACTGATATATGCACTGGTCCAGTTCACGATCGGCTCAGTTAGACTCTGAGCTGAGGTTCTGTCGAAGATACCAGAGTCTCTGCTCTTGACATTCAGCCTCAGAGAGCTGGTGTGTTTGACATCTGACAAATCTTTCCGGATGTCAGATGACACCTGACGGCTAGCAGGCCGTGAACTCATGCTGGAGAGATCTGCCTCTGTGTCCGTCCAGCCCTGTCCATACACAACAAACACTCAATGCTGATCCAATAAGGAGAGGTGCACTATTGAATAATAAACATTAATTACATTTAGATAGCTCTTTCTTAGCATTCAAAGCACTTTGAATACAGTAGAGGAGAGAATCTCCTCAACCAACACAAATGTGCAGCATCCACCAGCAATCCATGTATATGGATAATTAGGAGGCCACGCCCACGACGGACAGATGCCACTGGGAAAATTTGGCCAGGATGCTAGGGTTACACCCCTACTCTTTCGAAAGACATCCTAAGATTTTTTTATGACTACAGAGAGTCAGGGCCTCGGTTTAATGTCTTATACGAAGGACGATGCTCTTTGACAGTATAGTGTCCCCATCACTATACTGGGGCATTGGGAGCCACACAGAAAACAGGGTGAGCACCCCCTGCTGGCCTCACTAACACCTCTTCCAGCAGCAACCTGGTTTTAACAGAAGGTCTCACATCCAGGTACTAACCAGGCTCAACCCTGCTTAGCTTCAGTGGGCAACCAGTCTCGGGCTACAGGGTGAGGAAGGCCAGAAACGTACTTTACCCAATGGCATACATAATGTTTGGCCAACAGAATGTTTGGCAAACATATTACATGAGGGATAGTTAATCCAAAAATCTAAATTCTATCATAATTTATGCACCCTATAATGGTGTTCAAAACTGCAGAACACATTTTGAAGAATTCTGGTTTCAGTTCTCATTTACTTTCATTGTATGTTTTTGTCCATACAATGGAAACCAAAACTGTTTTGTTACCAACATTAAAAATATCTTCTTTTTTTTTGGTTTTAAAACTCAAAAAGGATTGGAACGAGGGTGAGCAATTGATTATATCATTTTCATTTTGACATGGACTATCCCTTTAAAGCAGTTCAGTTCACTTGGTGACCTCCCTAATACAATGTGTACCTGGTCAACATTAGTTACTGCAGGGTTCAGAAATTAACCATAAAAATAATAACAAAAGTGATAAAAATGCCCCAGATATTTACATAGATATCTCCACAGTGAATTCTTCTGTTATTTCAGAATATTAAACAAATGCTGTTTGTTATATAGGCTACTGTATGATAAAAAATATGCTACCAAAAAAGGTATACCCTTAATTTCCAGGGCTCAAATTTCTTTCCCAAACCACTTTGTTATTCTTCTAGTTATTTACCTATAGAGGCTAATGAAGTCTCGCAAATTCACAGAAAATTTCTTTCTTCCACGTGTAAAATAAGGATGATTCTTGTACAGAGTTTGTTGCCTAAAGGTGTTTTCTTACCGACTCGCTGTCAGACACCGAGGACAAGCGTGCTTTCCCGGCACGGTGCATGTTGCTGCTGGTCTCAGAGGACTGGCTAGTTACGGTGGAGCGTCGTGTGGACATAAAGCTACTGCTCATAAACCGGTCTCTACGAGGTACACACAGCAGCACTCCCAGACATGGTATGTACTTTGCAATGGCAGACCTGGGAGAGAGAAAGAGACAAAGGGGTGATTTGTAAAAAAAAAATGGGCGGGAAAATGAAAAGAGGAAATGTCAAACTGCAATTCACATCAAATTTCCATAGCCTTCAATGAAATAGTGACCTTTAAAAAAAGACACCTGTTAAGGTTAATTGGGGTGAGGGGATTTTGTGTTTGTTGTGTCTTATGTCAGAACCAGACTTAATTCGGGTCAATCCTTTACAGGGATCGCATATTGAGGCAATAGGTATGGGCAAATGATGACCTCATCATTTAGTTGCATAATCATGAGGCATCAATCTTGCCAGCTCACCACAGATCTGTTATGAGCAACACATGGTCCAATGCATTCAGAGCAGATCAATCTGAAGTAAATCTGACTTTTAAAGGTCAGAATTAGTCTACCTCTGTCGTCTCAAGCCAAGGTATTTCTATTAGCTGTACACAAAGCTGCTGATCAATTTGGGTCTACCTTGAAGAATGCAGCGTGCATGTTTGTGGAACAATGTTTCATTTCACTGGACAGATCTCTTTGTACTGAAAACTGAATCGGTGTGCTCCAGTGCCTCAATATGCTGCCAAGGTCTTTCAATTTTTGGGCACTTCTATACAGTCTCAAATATTGCCAGGATTTTACATTATTTAACAGGAACTTATTTCACAATAAAATACAAAAATATATATTTTAAATATTGGGGTCTGTAAGATTTTTAAAAAAAAAAAAGAAAAAAAAAAAAAGAAATGAATACTTTTATCCATCAAGGATGTGTTAAATTTATCAAAAGAAATACTTTTATTTCTTATATATGCTGCTCTTTTTAAACTAACTTTTTAACTTTATATTCATAAAAAAACACATAAAACAGAGCAGCAAATCAACATATAATGATTTCTAAAAGATCATGTGATCATGTGACAAATTACTATCTTGAGGCCACGAGATAGTATCTTGAGGCCATGAGTTAGTATCTTGAGGCCATGAGTTAGTATCTTGAGGCCACGAGTTAGCATCTTGAGGCCACGAGTTAGCATCTTGAGGCCACGAGTTAGCATCTTGAGGCCACGAGTTACTATCTTGAGGCCACGAGTTAGTATCTTGAGGCCATGAGTTAGCATCTTGAGGCCACGAGTTAGCATCTTGAGGCCACGAGTTACTATCTTGAGGCCACGAGTTAGTATCTTGAGGCCACGAATTACTATCTTGAGGCCACGAGTTAGCATCTTGAGGCCACGAGTTAGCATCTTGAGGCCACGAGTTAGCATCTTGAGGCCACGAGTTACTACCTTGAGGCCACGAGTTAGCATCTTGAGGCCACGAGTTAGCATCTTGAGGCCACGAGATAGTATCTTGAGGCCACGAGTTAGTATCTTGAGGCCACGAGATAGTATCTTGAGGCCACAGGTTAATATCTTGAGGCCACAAGTTACTATCTTGAGGTCACGAGATAGTTATAATTATTTTTTTTTTGCCAAAGTGGGACTAGGGGGGCTCCGTACAATACAACAATTTATTGAAACAAAAGCACTATGCTGCTATACCACAGTTATTTTGTGCTGCTGTGCACTGTGTAGTTGCAGTATATAAATCAGCATATAATTGTAAATTGATCAAATAAATGATAATGTGCAGCAACTAGTATCCATGAATATACTGCAAATTCTTCATAAATGCAGCAGAATAGATAACTATCTATATTCAGGCCTACTCTCATCAGCATCATCATACCTGTACTTGGGGTGAGTGATGGCGTAGATGATTGGGTTGTGAATGGCGGATGCTTTGGCAATTACAGCAGGCACAGAGTTCATGTATGGTGTGAGAATGTCAGCGTATCTGTGGAAAGAGTAAAAGGGACATAGCATTACACATTATAATGCATTTTTTTTTAAACCCTCATGACATCACATCACAGCTCCACACAGATATATTAGATTACAAAGAGGTGGTTAATGAGTAAAACCATGCAGTCCTTATAGGAAATGTAGCATCAGGTGCATTTGATCCTTAATCTGTCAAAGGAAGTCTGATGAAAACAAAGCAGTGTATTTTTTTTTTTCTCCCACAATCTGTGACACATTTTCTCTGAGGAGTTGATGGAAGAAAACGTTAATGGAAGAAATCATTAGACTAAAAGAGTCTAAGAATCTTTTATATTATATTATATTATATTATATTATATTATATTATATTATATTATATTATATTATATTATATTATATTATATTATATTATATTATATTATATTATATTATTATAAAGATTATGAACTTTTGATTAATATTCATATATGATTCAGATAATGAATGATTGTATTAGATTTAATTTAAAACTATCTCTGCTCTTTTTTATAGAGCTAATTTCTGCCTTGAAGGTCTAGACAGTCTTTGTAATGTCTGAACAAATAACTGAAGTCTCTAATGGCGAATTTCATGTATAAGTGCAGTGACAACTGAAGTGTGTGTTTATCTGTCAAAATTGACTAAATTGACTAATTGACTAAAGCCAATGCTAATTAAAAGACAATCAAGAAGTAAGAACAATTCTTACCCAGCAAAAGCAGTAAGAGCTACACAGGAGTATGGAGACCAAGAGATGACATAGAGCAGGATCACTATAAGCGCTATCTTCGCCATCTTCCATTCATTTTTCATTCGGTGTATCTTCTTGATAGAGTCTCTGAGTCCTCCTTCTCCATTGATTTTTCCCACAGCTCTGTAATTCCCATCATATAGACATGTAAACAAACAGATAGATTCAGTACACACAGACAGATCATGCATCAATGTGTACAAACAGATTTGATCATCTTTGTCTTTTGTAAAGAACACCATAACACAGCACTAATCTAAAATTGATCTCTTTTTGATAAATAATGCAATTGCCCTTGACAAGGTCTATTTCCTCTTTCTAGTTCAGACCTGTGGTCAAACATGCTCATAGAAATGGTTCAAATGCTTACCTGTTGGTATCACGGATAGCCCTGAAGATGAAGAAGTAGCAATACATGATGACAAAGAGGGGGATGAAGAATACAAATGTAAAGAGCAGCATCGTGTAGGCACGTACTGAAGGACTGAAGGTCATGTAGTCCCACGAACAGGATGTTAGCAAACCTTCAGGAACATACGCACCTGTGAGTAAAAACACATTTTTTCTTATATACAATTTTAAAATGAAATGCCTCTCTTGCCTCCTCAGACAAAATGCCCCTGGTAAGTGAGTGTTTGTAAGCACTTACTCCATCCAAAGAATGGGGGCAGGCTCCAGCCCATAGAGTACACCCAAGCAGCGAAGAGTATCAACAGGGCTCGTTTTCGTGACAAAACACCAATCGAGGCCAAAGGACGAGTGATCACAAAGTATCGATCTACTGCAATAACCATGAGCGTGATCATTGAGCAGATACCAAACAGAGCGCCGCAGAATGCATATAACTCACAGCCTGTGGAGAAAGAGAAATGCCAAGAAATACTGTTTAAAGCAACATGATTGCATTTCATAATGCACAGCATGCATTAATAAAGCAAGTCTGTTACATACCGTATGAGTAATAAATTGAACCCATCATATAAAAGCCCATGTTTATTGGCTACTAATTTAAATATTGCTGAACATCATTCAGAAGAAGCATGGCAGAACTCTCACAGATACCTCAAGTTGAAGAGAGACCTCGGGAGAGTTTAGGTGAGCTCATTCCAGTTCACCAATCATACAGCAGTTACTTCACTTCAAAGAACACACTTTAAGTGCTTAAAAGGTTTGGAATTTAAACAAGACCATCAGTGATCAAGGGATCCACGGATGACCCGACGTTTTATCAGTGCCATTATTTGAAAGCCTAGCATTACAGAATCACATAAACTCCACATATCCTATATTATAATTCTAACTGAAATAATCAATTTGAGAGCTTTATATGATGAGAGATCACATTTATAATATAATGCGTTTGTATGCAGCGGTTCAGTCATGACACACTGCTATTCTGAAAACCCATTGACCCAGAATATGGAATATCCTAAATCTCTCTGGGTTTTAGGATTACAAACTGAACAAATGTGAAATAAACTTTTAAACAATACAAATCACTAATACTGTCAATATACTTTGGAGATATTGGCTATATGGTGTTACAGTTTTATCAAGCATCGGTCAATAATGAAGCCGCTTTTTCAAAACTCTTCATACAGTCTGCATTTCCTGATTCTTGGCCAAACAGTTAAACTCACCTCCAAAACTCAATCACACCAACAAAACACTTCATATATTTTCTCAACATAAACTCGTTCCACCATAACACTGGCAACAATTCTCATTCAGACAGCCTCCATTTCATTCATAACACACTGACCTAAAAAACACAAACAACAGGGAACATTACATTAAGGTGTATTGCGCAAGTCTCTGAGATTTTGCAGAACTATGCCCCCTCTGGCAATAAGCGAAACTGCAACCAGAGGTGTGCATGCCCATGGACCACACGCACGCTTGCACGAGCGGTTCATAACCAAAGGTGAATCAGCCGCACAAATCTTTTATGCTAGAATGGTATTGTAAAATGTAAATTTAAATACAGAATGCAATACCATTTTTACATATTGCATTGTCATTTTGCACATTAAATTTCAAATTGAATATTGCTACCCATATGCTTTCATAGTGTGTTAGCATTCGAAAAGTGTCATGTAAATACAGTGTTTTGCAGATTGTAAAGTATGAATGACAAAAGTGTTTATAGATTTTGGAAAAGGTGTTCATTGAATGCATTTTGTGTGCAAGAAATGAAAAACCATTCACAGTTTGTTCCGCTTAGACTTCTGTTTCGCTGAATGTGTGAAGAGTTTTGAAAATGTGGCTTCAGTATTGACATATGCTTGTTAGCAATTGAAAAAAATCTGTTAGCAGTCATTCAGTTCCCCTCTGACTTTCAGTTTTGTCTGATCAGGAAAGCAAAACTCTGATTTTAAAAACTACAAGAAACTATAGACCATTTCACAAGATGTAAACAACATGGTCCAGAAACACTTCCTGTTTCAGTTTCAGATTCAGATGTAAAGAAAACATCTTAAAGATGTTTGTTTAACTTTTTGATTCAGTTTTAAATGTTCTGTTGGTTGTATTTTATCCCAGCTTTTATGTAGTGTTAAAAAATGAAACAGGAAGTGCTTCTGGACCAGTGTTGTTCACATCTTGTGAAATGGTCTATAGTGAAAATGATACATAAATCGTTAAAAGGTTATATCTTGCATTTCGAGTCTTTAGTTGGTTACCCAACCCTTTAACAAGCATATCAATAGTAGGGTTCGTATAAAAATAAAAAGTCTCGGCTAGTAGACTATATTGCGTGAACAAAAGTGGAGGTTTCTTCCTAGTTCAGATTACATTTTCCAGTGAACACTCTTATGTTGGTCATACTTCCAAAAAGAATAATCTGTGAATCCAAATGCCAGTATCGACATCGGTGCGGTGATTGACAGCTGCACATTCTCCTCAAACATTGTGTTCACCCGCGCTGTGCGCTGTCGAAGCACAACTCACATTGATAGTTCCACTAATAAATGCAATAGCAGATTTCGAACAGAGATGGCAACAAAGAGGAAAAACTGCTGACTGCAGCTTTAATGTGATTGATTTTATATTTCCAATGATGATGAAAATATAATCACTGTTTTCCCAATGGAACAAAGCTTGATAAAATGGCGCTAATTATTTTTCTGAGCACTGACTCATCAGACTCTCTGTCTGGTAAGCCTAAAACATTTTTCCAGTGCCAGCAGATTTGGCAACATGTTCAAGCTAACCGAACACTGATTCATTTCTAGATCTGCTTTAACCTCCCTGAAAACTAAGGCGTTTCTTCTCCTTGACCAGAATACAGTTATGCATCAATGTATAATCCCTCTCCAGCTGAGATCCTTTATCATTACCTGTTATTCTTTTCTTCTCATCTGCACTGGAATCAGTCTCGCGAAGATAATCTGATGTTAAAAGAAACCCTGCAAAGTTGTCTTGACATCTCACTCTTTCTTAGCATCTGTGCAAGCATGCTATAAATGCCGGGAAATGAACCATGGATTTGATCAAGTGCCCATGATTTTCTGACAGCTGGATTACCTTTTTCCCCAAAGATCCATCGCTTGTGCAAACTGGTGGTGAAGAAGATTGGCGTCTGAGTGACACACATCAGAAAGTCAGTGACAGCCAAATTAATGATGAACATGTTGGCAGGTGTCCTCAGACTCCTACTCCTGAAAAGACGCACAAAAGAACTGTCAAAAACTGTCAAAGAAAAAAGAAGCTCATCAATGGCAGTGGTGTTTTATGTTGTGTTATTTATATACAATAATGTTAAATAGTATTATTGTATGAATGGATCTGAAATTATATACACATCATATATACTAATTAATTAGGTTTTATACAATAACATCATATTTTCTGTTCCCTGATTTCTCTCATTTAGAAAGGACAAAAACTATAATGATAAAGATATACTGTAGTTCTAAAAATTGTAACAATACAAAGTACTGATGAATCAGCCAATCAGAATCCTTCCTGCTTAAAGAGCTCAAGCATTTAAAGTGCTAGATATAATATCTTTATCATTATATAGATAAATCCACTACTCTTGGTGAGAACAGGCCTTTAATGTGAGATTCCCAAACTTTGGGCATTTTTTTACATTTGTAATATTTATATTACATTTTACCCTGAGATTTTAAGTTAATATTTCAACAATATAACAGCATGTTCATATGTGGACATCTGCAGTTTTTTAGTAAGTGTTTTACTTTGATTTTTTATTATTATTAATTTATTCTAACTTTAATTTAATTAACTATTAGCTTTTCATCAATTTATGAATCCCCTTAAGTGCTCAGTTTGGGAAAACCCAGTCTAAATTGACTGCGTCAAAACCCGGTCATTAAATCTAATATGCAGTTAGTTTGCAGTTACTCCAGATCTAACAATAATTTCAATGGCTATCACACAAGATATAGCCTAACTGGACTCACTTGCAGAAGGCATACATGACCAAGAAGTTTCCCACCATGCCGGTGATGCCCACTGCCAGAATGACAGAGCCGATGGTGTAGTGAGCGTGGTCTGGGACATCCACAGTAGGGAAAAGATATCGAACATTCTGCACCATTGCCACCTGTGGGCAGAGAAAGAGAAAAAAAAAAAAGAATGCCAGGAGATGCTTTCAGATCAGGACAATGTACTAAAGGACATTGAAACTTAATAATTGAGTTTTGCATTACTTATAAAGTTATTCATATCTTAATTCACCAAGATATAATTAGTTAGAAATCCCCTAGATCCTGACACCTTTATAACACCCATTTAATACACATTAATAGCCAGCTGAGATGGAATTAAGCAGACATATTTAGTGTTTTTGAAGACGCAGTGTATTGTGTTGTTGCATTCACTTATTAGTGTGTGGTACAGAGCATACAAAAGCTTTTAGAATGACAAGTGGTGCCTGCTTTTGTTTTTTTGCCCTTGTGTCAGGCTCAGTCCTTGAGAGGCAATTAGTACATCAAACAGTTCGATTCACCAGTGTCAACGTCTTAGTCGGACACTTTTTTCTTCAATGTGTCCATTTATACTTCCATCAATCACTGAACCAGTCTATTGACTCGAATGGCTGAAGCCAGCCAGAGCAAAAAAAGTGAAATTGTGTTACGACCTGTGTTTACGTAGTGCTGTATATTATCGTTTTCTTTATTGCTCTGTGTTCCTTTTCTCTCTTTTTGTTTTGTTTGTCTGATTTCTATTAGGTTGCCCAATGATGGGATGTACGAACGCCATTGGTTGTGGTCTTTATAAGGACGCTGCTGGCACTCGTCAAGGAGCATATTGTTGGTTCGGTCGTACACGGGTTGAAAGCTCCAGAATCCCTCCTCTGGACGATGATTAATGTTAACTTTAAGTGCATCCAGGGTGTAACATCTGAACATATCTTCCGTTTGTCTAACAACACATTCTTTTAAAGTGTTTAGAGCTTAGGGGTGTCCTGCCTTGCTTATATTGAAACTAGTTTGAGATCTGTTTCTTTGGTAGGGAGTTAGGTAAGCTAAATGTATTTTCTTTTCTTATTGGTTTAGGTTACTTATTCTCCCCTCTTTTCTTTTTATATTTGTTCTGTTTGTTATTTTGGGACACCTTGAAGGAATGCTCTTTATTAAACTTGTTATTTCTTAAATAACTGTATTATCTTTTCTACTTAATTTTGAGTCATTTGTTTGATTATATGGAAGCCCTAAACCGCAACATAAAAATTAAAAAGATTGAAGTCTAAACATTTCGAAATTAAAGTCGAAAAATGTTGAGATTTAAGTCGAAAATTTTATAGATTAAAGTCGAAACATTTCGAGAATAAAGTCAAAACATTACGATAACATGTCTTCCATAGCAGTGTGTGCATTCATAACAGTGCGTGTCCACTGGCTCAGAGCGTGCGCGCGTGTGTGTGTGTGTGTGTGTGTAAAGAAATGCACTTCATGATCCATGGCAGAAGTTGAACTGCCATGGATCAACACAAAATAGTAGCCTAGCTTTTTACTTTTATCTGGGCTTTCAACAAAATTCTACACAGGTGCTAGTGGCAGTGTTTTTGAGGTGTTGTGCTTGTCTGGGTCGAGAACACAACAGTAACCGTTTTGTAACCCCTTTCAGCGTAAAATACATTTTGGATACATTTTAAGTACATCACTCTGTATCCAATCATTTGGCCGGAACCTGTGATTTCCTCTAGACTAGTGGTTGAGGAGAGATTCTGTGATATGATTGTAAAGCGCTTTGATTGTAGGCCTAGTAGACATTTGGAAGTGCTATATAAATGCCCCATTCATTCATTCATTCATTCATTCATTCATTCATTCATTTATAAAGCTGGATATCTCTATCCAGTCTGAAAAGTGTTTTCCGGGTTGTTTTTCCTATGGGCTAAAGTCTATTCCGGCCCAGTATATTTTATAACGTATTTTATAACGGAAGCCTTTGCTGGTAGATTGGCACCTGTCGAATTTCCTTTTTTTTAAACAAAACATACACACACAGTGTGAAACACTCGCTATGATGCACCATTATGAATGCCAGTGTGTGGCAATGTGAGACAATGGCAATGCAGACACACACATCCACACACATACACACGCAGCTTCAATGGAAGACTGTATTCTCGAACTCTCGTCTCTCAAAATATTTAGACTTTAATTTCGAAATGTTTCGACTTTGATCTCGAAATGTTTCGACTATAATCTCGAAATTTCAGCTTTAATCTTGAAATGTTTCGACTTTAATCTCGAAATGTTTCGACTTTAATCTCGAAATGTTTCGACTTTAATCTCGAAATGTTTCGACTTTAATCTCGAAATGTTTCGACTTTAATCTCGAAATGTTTCGACTATAATCTCAAAATTTCAACTTTAATCTCGAAATGTTTCGACTTTAATCTCGAAATGTTTCGACTATAATGTCAAAATTTCAACTTGAATCTCGAAATGTTTCAACTATAATTTTGAAATTTCATCTTTAATCTCGAAATGCTTCGACTTTAATCTCGAAATGTTTCAACTTTAATCTCGAAATGTTTCGACTTTAATCTCGAAATGTTTCGACTTTAATCTCGAAATGTTTCAACTTTAATCTTGAAATGTTTCGACTTTAATCTCTTATTTTTTCGACTTTAATAGAAAAAATTCAGGGCTTCTGTAATTATCGACCGAAGTGATTTGTTGCTGGGATTCCATACCACAACCCAATATTATTTATTACGCCTCTTAAAGGTTTTCCGATTTCCCCAAGATTTGGGGCATAATAAATTGACACTATCACTTTTTATAGTTAGAGCATAATGGATGAGTAATACAAAGTAGTAAATAAAGACAATCATTGACATTTATCATAAATAAAACACTCTGCTGTACAATGACTGGAACATAAAGTTTATGGCTTTAAAGAAGGGGATGTGAAGATGGTACAGATAGTGGATGGATATTGCAAGACTGCTCAGTATCTCGAATACAAAGTGAGAGGACATTTTAGAACTAATGAGTTTATAATCTGCCACAGATCAGCGGCATATTAATGCACTGTGTGTGTATGTGGACAACTTTGCTCATGATATACTGTAACAGAGGAGAGGAAAAATAAATGGGTCCTTCAATGAGTTTAGCATCTCATTGAAGTAGATCCCCCTCCACTATTAAAGGAAGAAGAATGCTGAAAACTTTGTTTTCTGCAAAAACACAATGGCAAGCACACATGCAGCTTCTACGGAAGACTGTATTCTCGAACTCTCGTCTCTCGAAATATTTTGACTTTAATCTCGAAATGCTAGATTATTATTTTTTTTTTTACAGATTTTTTTTAAAAAAATAAAAAATGTACCGACTTTTTTTTTTTTTTACGTTAGTGTGGGGCTATTTTGAGTGGTATAAACTAGTGATTTCTTTTTCCTTTTTAAATGCCCCCATTACTAGCATTATACGCTAAACAGTTTTTAGAGATAAAACTCTTTACATTCAATTATCATGAAAACAAATCTCAGAGAACGATTGACTAGGTACCAATGTATTATTAGACCAAAGGTTTATTTTGCACCAGAGTTCTCCTTTAACATCAATTCAAATTCAAGAACTGAATTGGAATTCAGTAGTCACTCTCAATTCAATTCTGAATTGTGCACAAGCCTGGTCGATATGGGACATTGGCGATGACAGTGATGGCCATACCACACCCACTCCCTCCCTTCTTCTCACAGCTATAATCCACGCCCATTTAAGTTGCATTTTTCAAAAAGATTGTGAGCTAGACTTGAGCTGAAAAAGGTGGGTTTCATGACCCTTTAAGTAAAGCTTGTGAAGAACCTTGTATTTACCTTTGGTCAATCATGAATATTATTCTTCCATCTGCTCCTTTCTGATCATGGAAATGTAAAGGAAATTTCAAATGAATTGTATGTGATTGGTATAAATAATAAGTAATAAATAATATGTAATAATTGGTATAAATAATATGGTATTCATTTACCACTCAACAATCGGTTGATCAATCTATTGACAAACCTATACCCAAATGAACAACAGATTAAAATTGCTTCCAATTATTTCACACCCTGTAAAACGTGATTCAAAAAGTCGCTCACTGTTCCTGTAAATCCATTCAGGTAGGCAAGCTATGTAAAAAAGCAGTGTTTTTCATTTTCATTTTGGTGCCTCTCATTTACTGGGCTTTTTCTTTACATAGTGAGAGGTTTTCAGAAGTCATGGTTTGTGGCACAGATGCTCTCCTACAATGTGATAATTTATAACTGGAATCAAGTGTTATTCACAGGAACTCAAAATCAAAACTGAAATCGAAAATGTAAATACAGCCTCACTGTTACCTTGTCTTTTCCATCATGTTAAGGGAACTCAGAGTAGATTTATTCACAGCAAACAGTGCCATTTGTATGCCCATGTTGCATTACTAATACTGTGTAACAAACAAAAAAAACAAAAAAATCAGTATTTGACAAATTTAACTCTTGGAAATTGATCATTTTATTCAGCAAGGACACATCAAGTGATAAAAAGTGGGGAAAAAACTTGTTATCATGGTTTACAAAAAAACAATTAAGCAGCACAACTGTTTTGATAATAAGGAATAAATTATATTTAAATAGAAAAACTATATTTTAAATTGTACAAATATTTCACAATATTACTTTTTTAATAAATCAAATACTGATCGTACTGATCCCAAGCTTTTGAATGGTAGTAATATGTAGGCAGTAACTATTCAAATGAAATAACCACCCAAAATCCAACAACACAATTTCTGAGGACTCCAGAAAGCAAGTCAGAAAGCAGTTTATCCAATGCACATGGCATCGACTGTCATTTCACCTAATCTGAAGAGACAGAACTGATATTTACTCTAATCCTCATATGTCAGTGCTTCTCTGTAAGGACTATCGATGAGGGATTTGAACGAGAGCATGTGCTGCTACTTGGACGGAGGATTCTGCGACACAAATAGATGAGAAGTGCTCTTAAAATGTCACTATCACTTAGACATTCAGTGAGTGATATACAGGGAGAAGGGGAAAAAGAGAGAAAGCCAGAAATGGATGAAACAGTGGAAATCGCTTCACCACAGCACAAG